CCTGGCTGCATTCTTGGCTTGCTCACGGTCCAACTTCTCAAGCGCTGTCCGCGTGTAGTGACCAGCTGTCAGGCCCATCGCTTCAAGAATCTACTCAGAGGCCTTGTTCTTCTCGTTGAAGCAAGCAGTGACTATGGCAACAGCTGTCTGGACAGTCCTTGACGAGCAAAAGACAGTCTTTGGACAAATCTGCCAAATGAGGCCATTGATGCACTCGTTCCGATTCTGAGTAGCGCCACGCAAGCATTTCTCGAGAAGTTGCCTCTCAGTTAGCCGCAAGTACACAGGCTTGATGACTTTGAAGACTGCATCCGGCAGGCTCTTCTTATGTTGGTATTCAGGGCCACCAGCTTGATGACTCTGCCACTTGCACCAACTATCTGGTCCAGGGGGCAGAACTGATGCTGCGGCTTGTCATCTGTTGAAACACAATGCACGACCGATGCCCATATCGCGCATGCCATGCCTTGCAGGTCATTGCCATGTCCACGTACATTGGCAGTATACTGCTCCTTGCTGATCTCATGTTTGCTCAGCTTCCTCTGGAATATTGTGCACTGCTGGCAGTGCCGGGAGAGGACTTCGTAGTCGATGACTTTGCCAGTATCCCACGAGATGGCAAGAAACGCTCCATGTAGCGAGGTAAAGCCGCGTCGCATCCACGTTCCGTCGTAAGTGACGGCAATATCAGGGGAAGACGCCAACTCCTTGGCATTCGCAGCTGCACGCTCATGCTGCTGGTGGCAACAACTCTACTGGCCTTTGCTAGTACCTTGGTGTGCTTCTGGTATGCAGGCATATTCATGACAGTGCAGAATTTCACAAGGGATGCCCACGTCCTATCCATGTCATTGCAGTAGCCGGCTTTCTGTTCACATCCCAGCAGTGCCCAGTCTTCTTGGACATAGCTTCACGGCTTTCAGCCTCGCAGCTGTCACAGGCCAGCGATAGAGTTGAAGCCAAACCTTCACGACGTACTTCACATAGTGTAAGGGTGCCATGGCACGCTGAGCAACAGGCACTATCAGCAAGTAAATTTTGTAACCATTCTAAATAAATAATTCGGCTCCCGGTCGTCAGGTAATCATCACCGTCGCGCTCATCTCCAGAGCTGTTGCTGTCACTGTCACTAGATGTCTCACTCTCACCAGAATTAGACTGTTGGACTTCGGCATCATCCCTATCTTCTGGCAACACAGAAGAGTCTTCTGCCACGACAATTTTCGTAATTTCACTCGACAATTTAAAAATTATTTAGCACATTGATTTCCATGGAATTTGCGCTTCTTTGGACGACCAGGACGGCCTACGTACTGCCTCTTCCCCATAGTGATCAAGGAAGGTTCCACAAAACAGATGAAAGCCAACAAAGCAGCTAAACTGATAAAGAGCTACAATTTGGAGATTGGAGATTGCTGGTATAAAAATATTTACCAAAATTGAAGTACGACATGCGCACTGTGTGTGGTGACATGCGCACTGGCATTGCTGATGCCGATGGTGATGTCAGCTCTGCGTGGGGCGCAGCAAGGTAAAACCAGGGAGATTTTCAGCCTTTCCGCGAAGTTTCATCGCTAAAATGCCAGCGAAATCAAAGTTACACGCAAAACATGTGTAATGTAAATTCTAATGCGTAAAAATTTGAATTTTTGAATTTACAATTACTATTTTTGACAATAGCGGCCTTTGAAAGTCCATATCTCAAAAACTACTGAAGCAATTCACTTCAAATTTTCGGGAAGTGCGGTTGGGACCTACCCAGAGGGTCTGGAAGCGAAAATGGGGTCAAAATCCAAAATTCGATTTTTGACCCTCTGAAAGGTGCCGGAAAGGTGTAGCAGGCCTCTTGAAGCAAGCATGCTGCATGAGCTCGGCAGCACAGTGTAGACCAGGGAGTACAAAAAACCCGTTTGTTTAGTACTCCCGGCCTGGTGTATACATGTAGCCAAGAGTTTTTGTACTCTTGTCAGTCTTGATGTAGCCAGTTAGCAGGGAGTAGTACCACTCCCTGGTAGATCTACAGAGTATGGTGCCATGCATGGTGAGTGCATGACCCCAAGAATATTTAGAAAAGCGATCCTGTCAGCTTTTCTATTATTGTGTTCACATGGCGCTACCTAACGACACCGCTATTCAGACACGTTGTCTACGTAGCTACGTAAGTTTCTACGTAAGATGCTCGGTACCTGGTCCTGGACCAGGGAGCTACTCCATGGCTCCTACCATCGCGGGGCCGGCTGGCCGCATGCGTGTGCATTGCAGACTTTTTGTTGTTGCCTTTCCGGATGTGCATACACGAGGAACTTCCTTCTTTGGAACTGCTTCTTGCATGAGCTGTTTCGTTTCGGCGCTGCTGAGACCTCCTTTCGCGGAATATTACTCAATGACAGGTGAGTTGACCAGTTCCCTTTGATTCATTTGCTTGTGTTGACTCTTTCATTTACGAAAAGTGTGCTGACTTTGGGTGGAATGCAATAAATATGGAAAAGCTGACAGGATCTCTTTTCTAAATTTAGCTTTTCCGCTGCCAAGGCCTCCTTTTACGAAATACTCGATGACAGGGGATCTCTGAGTTGACCGGTTTCCTTCGATTCATTTGCTTATTATGCTCACCCTTTCATTAAATTTTACGGAAACGTGTGCTGACCTTATTCGGATTTAGATCCATTTTTATCTCTTTGCCCTTGTCTACAGTGTGCGAAGGACGCAAGTTCACCTTCTTGACGGTAAGGCTTATGTTAGATGTGTTGTCGAAATACTCATATTCATTGTACATAAGTACGTTACAAGAAATGCACTGGTCAGTGGCATACTATCGTTGGCAGTTCCCAATCTGGTGGGAAATCTGGAGGGAAAGGTTCAAGGACCCATTGACCGAGTTTGCAAAATAAATTCGCATATCAGGGAAAATCTCCAGAGTCTGGGCTTTTTGATTTGTGAGTACCGCCGAGATTGCACTGCCCCAAATACAGTTTCGTGCCGCCAAAGCAAGAATTACGATCTGCAATCTGTTTGTAGTACCTGCAAGAATGTGGAGTACATGTATCGTACTTTCTCTGTTGCTGTTTCAGTTGCCGTCATGTTGCTAAAGAAAGGTTCAGTAGAGAGGTTCTGCGAAACGAAAATTCGAACGAAGCTAGGGATCTCAGCGCGTGCAGTGCGCAGGGTGTTTGCGCATACATTGCGTCATCGAGTTTTGAGTGCAGCTCGCGGACACAGCAGAAAAATGGCGACGGTCGATTTTCGACACTAGGGGACGCGGTGGACACTAGCGGAATCGTCATCTTCATCGTCGTTCGAACATACTTTGTAATTCCCGCCGAAGGACAGCGTGGCCAAGGCGATATTGCCCCGGTCGATTTTCCTATAATTTTCCATGCGGCAAGAACCCACTTCAGAGAGGATTCAGTCAAAAATTCAGACGTTTTCTCCGGTTAGATTTTCCTAACTTCGATTTTCAGTGCATCAGCCATCGCGAACATCGCCGCCATTATCACTCGGAGAGAAGACATCGCGCTCAGTAGAAGAGGTGTTCACGCTGCGTCCAAGAGTGAAAGATTGAGCTCTTTGACCCTCCATAGTTCCTCTGAGAGAGTGTCTGGGAGATAGGTAGCTTGGAGATGAGCGTAGAACGTGCTTTCCTGGACGCAATATTCAGCCATTTCTACTGTCTTCTTCAACTTGATTTATTTCGAAAAAAATGTTCTTTTCCACGATTTCTGCACTGGACGCGTTTGGGATCGAAAATCTCACCTGCGCAGACTGGCTGCGCAGTTCACGCGCTGAGATCCCTAACGAAGCTTCCCGACAGTCCTTGCGAAAGTGTGTATGAATTTTTGCACGAACTTTGCGTTCTGCACATTTTCGTGGTTTCTGGGGCCAAGTGCACGTACGATCTCACGAAATTTCCTACGACAGTTCATTTCGCGTTCCCTGCAAGTTTCGCGTCCAAAGTTGCGAAAGTTCGTGCGAAGTTTCGCACTTCATGACGTAGAGCGAAAGTTTGTACGCATTTTCGTTTTGCAGAACCTCTCTAGTGACTCATTTGTTTCATACCAGACGAGTCAATGAGTCGGTGTGGCTTAGAATCTTTCGCTGTAGAAGAAATCTATTCGTATGTCTATTCAAGAAATAATTGTATTCACTGGATATAAAAATTAATAGGTTAAGACAAACTCACAGAATAAATACCATCGGTCCCTTGGTGTTCGTCCTAAAGAGGTTCGACTGGATATCATTCATACTCACCAAAAGATGTGTAAGATTTTATTATTGTGGAGTGCCTTGTTTATCTCTCAGTACCTCCAACCATAGCCTTGCCCCTTTTATCCTTAGGATCAGTGTAGTTGTTGGAACGAGGTGTCGGACTCAGCAATGTATTGTTTACATTTTAATACATGTTTATTGTTCCTCCTTTGCTGTGTTGTTTTAGAAAATCGTGGACTAACAGTTTGAAGTCATTGAACTACTTCCAAAAGTTGTATCGACATCAACAGGATTACCATTTCAGTGCAATATGATGCAGGATGACCTTATCACAATAACCCATGATTATAAACCATTATAAACACAGAACCAACAAAAACATCTGCGACACGCACCTGGCTACATTTCTCAAATAAATCTGATCAAGGGTGGGGAAATCTGAAATATCTGAAAGGCAAGACAATTTTATGAGTCATGAAATTCTGCAACAGCAAGCTGCAACATGCACAGAATGACCTCCGTATAAAAAAAGTATCACCACCACCAGACCACTACTCACATGTCATGTTTCCCCGCAGAAGAACATGCAATTGCATTATGATAGCGCCATTTTCTGCAAGAAAATGCTTGCACATCAATGCGTATAATACGGTATTGATATGATGTGAAGGCCATCATTTACATATTGATATAGGGCATTCCATTGATTGGTGACAGAAAAAACAAAAGAAATTATAGCAATAAAAACTGCTTTATGGCAGTTTTCTAAAAAAAGTTATTGTGTTCTAGTCCATGGACGGACCCCGTCTAAAAAGTAAGAAATTAACGAAATGTGATAGCCGAAAATTAAAATTTCACACAAAACCTCACAATAATCACACACAGAATGAAAAGCTACATGTAGAAGACCTTTTCCCCTCGTGATCCTCTTTCCTATGCATGCATGTTGCCAATTATTGGTGCAGTACAAGTTTAGTGTTGAAAGCAGCATTTCAAGTGTTGTGATTATTGTGAGGTTTTGTGTGAAATTTTAATTTTCGGCTATCACATTTCGTTAATTTCTTACTTTTTAGACGGGGTCCGTCCATGGACTAGAACACAATAACTTTTTTTAGAAAACTGCCATAAAGCAGTTTTTATTGCTATAATCAAGAGTGCACAGTCATGTACTGTCACCAAGGCAAGAGTCCATAACCCAAGAGTATGCAACTGTGATCTCTTTTCTATGGGCCAACCGCGCGGCGCGCTGCCTTCATTACATCATTCAGCTGCAGTCCGCGCACTGCGGAAAATCAAACACCGCACTTTCCCTCTAGTTTGAAATGAACTTTCGTACGGAACTGGAGTTCACGCGCCAGAATTCAGAGATTGTGTAGGTACTGGAACGAATCGAGCAAAAACGGATGGGCTCGTGCGAGAAATTGAGAGTTTGAATGCATGCTTTCAGAGCGTGATGAAGGCAAGTTACGTAATGAAGGCAGCGCGCCACGCATGCACCCATCATCACAGTTGCATACTCTTGGGTTATGGACTCTTGCTGTCACTGATGTAGCCTTGCAGCTGCAGGCGTAGCCCCCCAACCCGCGAAGCTTCTCGCTTCTCGAACTTTCTTTATCTTTGTTATGGCATGATTGAATATGGCATGATGTACAATGTACTTCATAAAATATCTGAGAAACTGTGCTTTGAGTTTGAGGTAGATCTACTTTTAAGTCCTTGTTTGGTGCAGCAACGGCAGCAGACGGTGTGCTGCCATACACCAGTGTCGTGTCGGCGATACAAAGATGATGGAGAAGATTCAAAAATCTCTGTGATTTGAACAGTTGCAATCAAAAGGATCTGTAGAGTCTACACCAGTATTGTTCTCGGGCAGAAATAAAATATCCGCTAAAATATTAGCTGGCAAGGAGGGCAAAAGTGAAACAGAGCCAAGACCAGAGTAAACAGGTAAGGAAAAATTAGGATAGAAGCTTATTGGTCGTTCTATGTGCGTTCCCAGGACATGGGTGAAAGGTTTGTTGAATGTTTCAAGTACTATTACATGTGCAACCTACATAATGCTTACAGTCCTGTCACATGTTCATAACACATGTACACGTGTTCCGGTACAGGTCGAGTCCTTTACAGTAAAGCTGTGAAAGGAACCACTCTGAAAAGGCAGTCACTTGTGGCTGTCCCAGATGACCACAATGTGTCACTTCCATGCAGTCAACCATGGATAATTAAGGAGATCGAGACGTAGAGTATGGTGTATATGGACACGTTTTAGAGGGTCTCCGCGAGCGCGAGGGGGGTGATGTGGGCTGACCAATCCCACTAGCTACAGTACTTGCGTCAAGCTGTGCGTTTGAGGCGATGACGTAATTTAGACGTAAGCCTGCATGCAGGGGCTGCATAAAAGGTTTTTTGCTGGGGCCAAAAGTGCGCGAGTGAGCTGGGGGCCCGCTACAGAGCTTGTACTTGTAGAGTGGTGGGTACTGAATTGGATGTCCCTGGGCCAAGAAGATTGTGATGCATTGCCCACAAGGTTTTCCTTACCACGTTCATAATACATCCTTGAGTTCAAAGCCTCGTTGGGATTTGACATGTCTAGTCCCGGCATGTACAGCCCACGCACACTGCTGTGATGCAAGGGGGCTGCATTTGAAGGCTTTCAACTGGGGAATGGTCGATGTACCAACTGTTATGTTGGACCCACGACCATTAGTCTCCAGGCATAGACAACGACGTTTTGAAAATAATTGTTTTCCGAGGAATCGGGGAGATATTGTTGGGGGAGGGGTGCTCCAATGGGCTCCGTATCTGTGAATTTGGCTGGTACATGTAGCGTATTGCGCATCCACTACTTGTATGAATGCAGTCAATGCACAAAGACTGGCCGACATGAAAGGGAATTGCCGGAAGTATGGCGCTAACAAGAGTCTCCTACTGTTATTTTCAGCAAGCATAGCATGTAGCATGAAGAACCCTGGTTCTGTTTCATCAGTGGTCTGCTTTCTCTCGTTTGGCGTGTTCTGCGTATCCAGGAGAGGATAGTCGGGCATAGCGAACATTCTTCAGAAAGCTGAAAGACCCACCGGCAAAATCTAGCAATGGACGTGGAGGTGCAAGCCAAAGCGAGCGGGAATTCTCCACCAGGGCACCTGCAAAACACAACGGGTGTTGACAGTGAATATGAGCCGAAGAGTGTCAAATCAGCAGAGCCCAGGAAAAGCCTGGCGCTCACTACCCGAGGCGACTCGGACGATTCCCTCATTACCAAGAAGCAAAGACGGTAAGTGTCTGGTACATGTTTTAAACGACTGCTATTGCCGCTTTAGGAGCTGCATCGCCTTAGAATTTGCAGGGTAGTGGTGTTCCTACGGATGCTGAAAACTCAGTCTAACTTAGTCTCAAGTGAACCGTGACACTTTTTTAAATATATTTTTCATTGTCATTGACTCTTGTCCTCCACGAATAGTTTTGCTCTGCCCCACTAATTTTTAGCATGAGGGTTGATTCACATATGCGGGTACACTGTACTGGCGGGGGCGTCTCTCCCAGCCTCTCCCGGTTGCATCTGCATGTGTTCGAGCCAGTGCCGGTATGTGTGATGTGTGTGGTGCGGCCGGTTCGTTCTGGAATGCAACTCTGGTTTTTTTGCCAGTACAAACACGGCCTGTAAAACTATACAGTACCGTGATGAATAATCTTAGTGGAGACAATAATTTAGAGGTATATAAGTATGAAAGCCACAGACATCACCACGCAACATGACAACTTGTTAGAAGTTTATGTGTATTGGTTTCCAGAACCTCGCTGCAATATTGGGTGGCCAAGTTATAGTGTTTTGCCCTATCTCTTGTTCGCATGTCCAATAGCCTACGTTCTCTCAATACTTTCAATGTGTTTTGTGACAGTGATGAAGATGGCAAGTCAAAGGAGGAGCAGGTCTCCTTGCAGCGATTGGTAAGCTGCACTGGTCTTGATTATGCCCAAATCATTTTCTTTGATTGATGCAGGTGCATAGCTCGTGTTACAGTCGTGTATAGTCAGCATGATCCGGTCACCACACCACCATATGGCCGTCATAGGTACTACGTACTGTAATTTCACAAATTTTCGGTGTACTTATATTTTCGGTACCTTCGGTGCGTCTGTTTCATACTTAAAATTTCAATACACCGAACAAACACTAACGCACATAATCCAATAGGGAACTGTTTCTCTGTACCTAAATTTTCTGTTCACCTAACCTGGCCTTTCGCCCCCATACCGAAAATATTAAGCTGCCTAAAATTTCTGAAATTAGGGTACTCAAAATAGACGAAATGGCAACTATGAGGTTCAGTGATACCAAGTGCCCTCTACCCCCATGCGTACTGCCCAGTGCCATTTTGCAGAATTTTTCAGAGTTTTGCGTACTCGTTTTTGCAGGTCAACATTTTGTGAATTTTGCGAGCGCGCAAAGATAAGTAATTACTTCAAGTAGTTAACACAGAAGGCGCATACGCCGCGCCGGACACTTCACAGTTTGCTTCCTGCTCAGATTTGCATGGCTGACTGGTGACTCTATTCAAAGCCCGATGCTGTACAACCTTCCAGCCAAAGAGTCCACTTGTGAAGTACAGTAAAACCTGTAACTAACGACCACCGTGACTAGCGACCGGCCTGGTACTACCGACCACTTTGTCAGGCACGGACGGTCTCACATTCAAAATGCACTGTGACTAGCGACTACCTGCTGAACGCGACCAGCGACCGCCTTTTCTTGTCCCAATGTCGAATTTTGACCCGTAACTAGCGACCGCGATGTAGCAAATCAAACATTGCTTGAAGCTCCTTCTCGAAATTTTGATGATTTTCCATGGTCGTTTCGATACTACAGCTGGACAAATGAGCGCAGTCTCATTTTTACTGTGGAATCAGTGTGGATTGCACTACACCTGTCATAATTTCAAGTGCTGTCCAGAACAAACATGATAGGAAACGTCTTGGAGAGCGCATCCAAAGCGCTCTTTGATCGATGTTACTACTCGAAGGAGAAACTAAGACTGAGCGGCTCTCTGTCGAAGTGCAATCACACAGCTCAGTCACCAGACTCACCACTACACCAGGTCACGCTGACAGTCTGTGCTGGCTAGCTAGCATGTACTCAGCTGTACGGAACACAGGCCAGGATACGATGGCGGATAATAGTCTACAGTGAAAGGTGCGAAAACTCGCAACATCGCCGCATCACGTACTGGTACACACCATTACAGTTTACGCTACACTGCATCCAAGTCGGAGCGACTGAGTTTCCACTGACAGTCTGTAGCTCTACACACTGATACCAGTTGCCAGTGTAGTCGCACACAGATGAGGATGGAGTCGATAGTGACTAGTGCACTGCCTGGCCAGGCCAGCGCTGCTCTGGAAACCCAGTGAGTCGACATACGTGTCAAAAGGTCGTATCGCTTCCGGTGTATAAAAAACTTGATTTTCTCTCTCTCCAAGTGTTGTATGATCTGAAAGAAGAATGTCAGTGCGCAAGTGGTGGGGGATTGTATTATCTGCATTTTGACATACATATCATATAATGGGATCCATATATGGTCGCGCGGTGCAAACCTCTAACTAAAGACCACCTGCCACTAACGACCACTTTTCCGGGCACCAAGGGGTGGTCGTTAGTTACAGGTTTTACTGTATATAATAATTATAATAAAACCCTTTATTACAGGATAATCAGCACAGCATGCAACCGAATTACATATGTCAGTACAATTTTCAACTATGTTACTTCAGCCGGCTACTTCATTATGATGTGCTTAGTCGCTCAAAGAGCACGCGAAAAGGGATTTCCCCCAAAATGGCAAAAAATTGATCAAAAATTTGAAATTTACGGAGGTAAGAATACCTGAATACGGCGCGCGATATCTCTGGAGTGCGACATCGTAACTCTTCGGCGATTGTTGCATTGCTCGGCTTGGAGTTTTCGCTACCACGTGGACCCTTCAAGTGTTGAATTTGCACAAGAAACGATGTAGTTACGAAGGTTTTATTAATCAATCATACATGATCGTTTGCGGGATAATTCGATTGAAATCCGTACTGCGGACAAAACTTAGTTTAGTTTTTCCGTAAAATACGGACAAATACGTGCGGTTGGCAACACTGGAGGTTGCAGGTGGTACACGATCACCACACCACAGATGTGCTCTGGCACGTGGTCACCGCACCACAGATGTGCGAGCTACGCCCCTGTTGATATTCTGCTTGTCCACTCTTCATACTGCCCACTCCCGTCCATTGTCCAACCCCAGCATGAGTTAGTTAAAGCCGTACTGGTCTCGAATCTCATAAAAAGCTGACGCACGGCGTAATTATGGTTTGTGCCCCTGGGCTTGCCACGGACACACGTCTCTGCCACGCCGTGTAAAGACAGGTCAACATGGATCTGCAATGACTCCTGAAGATCTGGCATTTCTACTTGAACATCAAGTTCAACACAGCTTTGGAATATTCTAGTGGTCTGCCTAAGTACATGTAGCAAGAGCTCCAAACGATGACACACCAGCAACGGTCCAGCTAGAAGATTCATAACGTACAACAGTAGGTAGCCGAACCACACAACATGAGCAAGGCTTGATAGTTGATACTGACGGATCGTAACGTTTCGACCGTATTGGTCTTCTTCAGAATGAGTACATGCAGTACAGTTGTGCTGTACTCATAGCCGCCTTTGGCTCTTGATATGTTGTGGCTATTTTTTCCACAGTTCAAGTACGCCACGCCACTGGAAGTTGTACTCATGTGTGTCGGCACCATCATGGCCGCAGCACACGGCACAGCAGTGGCAGCCGTTATGATTGTCTTTGGCAATTCTGTCCAGTCGCTTGTCGATGCCACAACGCTGGGTCCCGGCGGTGGTGGCAACCTCACTAATGTTACCAATGGAACTGGAGACGCACTGTTTGATAAGCTGCAAGATGAGCTCAAAGATCAGGCTATCATCTATGCTGGTATGGCTGGTGGTGTGTGGTTTGTGTCCTATCTACAGGTAAGCATGTGTGTGTGCATGTGTGTGTGCGGCGCGTGTGTATGTGTGTGTGTGTGTGTGTGTGTGTGTGTGCATGTGTGTGTTTGTATGTGTGTGTGTGCGTGCGTGTGCGCGCGTGCGCGTGTGTGTGCGTGTGAGTGTGTGTGTGTGTGTGTCCCATATGGTGCAGTGGTATGTGCAGCGATTTCCAATCGATAGGTTGCGGATTCGATTCCCGACGATTATGGTCACACACGTCTTTCTTCTCTTTCTCAGACTCCTCTTGACTTTTCTTTCATTCTCCTGGGTGAGCCTTGCAAGCTGTTGAATGGTGCAATCCCAGCATAAGTTGCTATGGCTCCTGCTGTAGCATCGCTGTCATTGCCTCCGGCGACGGGCGTCAATGGTGTGTGTGCGTGTGTTTGCGTATACTTACCTGTTTATCATCAATTGTTTAACATACATGTACACAGAGGAAATGGGATAAAGGCGTAATATTGCCTCTCTATGATTTATTCTAACATTGCTTGTAGTATTGGCACGGCAGACCGGTATGTTATATATTGCTGTTCACTGTACTGCTATGCAGGTGTTCTGCTGGTACTCGGTGGGAGAGAGCATCATCAGACGGATCCGCCGCAAGTTCTTCACCGCCATTCTGCACAAGGACATTGCTTGGTTTGACACACACAAGACCGGGGAGTTAGCATCCCGACTGTCCGAGTAAGATGAGCTGTATGGTGTGGTGTAGTAGGTCCTTGATGCATACAAGTACATGTAGATTGAACGGCGTGGTGCGCAGACCAGTGTAGTCGCGTTTCGGTCAAGGCGCTGCACATTTCCAGGTCACTGATGTATATGTTCTCAGTGCTTCAGTGCTAGCTTAGTTACGTTGTTACTGTGCTGATGCAACTACAGTCGACCTACCCTTATAACGATATTTCCGTCACACCAAGAAATATTGTTATAAGGGTAACATTGTTATAGGGGTAACTGGTTCATTTCATACATATACGTCATAATGCATGAATTCTGTTCATTTTTTACACTCTTCATAGCATAAAAAACTGACGTACATGCTCATTATGGGCACAGCAAGGTGCCCACTGGTGCTCCCATGGCATTTCGTCATGTCCCAGCGACTTATCAAGTGAAGCTTGCCCTACCTGGATAGTGGGCTCTACATGTTGCTTGCTAGATATTGTTATAAAATGGAAAATGTCGATTGGTCAGCCCATTTTATATCGTTATAGGGGTAATATCGTTATAACAATATTGTTATAGAGGTAAGGCACTGTATACACAAGTCAATGGAGTGATTTGGTTTGGCAGAAAAATATCGTTATAAGGGTAATATCGTTATAGAGGTTATCGTTATAAGGGTAGGTCGACTGCTAGCTGCCTGCCAAGTGCACTCCTCTTCCACCAATTTATACGAGGCAACGCACTGGCACCACAAGGGTTTTGGTCTGCTCAGGAGTCTTTTCTGGTACATGTACAGTGAAACCTGTCTAAGGCGACCCCGCAAGGGACGAGAAAAAGTGGTCGCCGTGGCCAGGTGGTCTTCTTATCCAGGTTCAGTGGGTCACGTGACCATATCCACATGTGATACATCATTTTGATCAGTGCATCACAGTGCACACACCTATGCTACTCTAGCACGACTCATGTGCCTGGGGTCCTCAGACCTGTCAAATGTTGTGCATGTACCATGTACATCTACACTTCCTGCACTGATGTGTACATCTACCATGCCTGGTGCACCATGCAATGCATGCATTTACATGACTAGCACTGTGCAACGCGGTCGCGGGTGGGTGGTCGCCGGTCGCGTTGAGCGAGTGGTCGCCTTATCCGAGGTGTTTTGAATGTGAATGCGTCCGTGACATGGAAAAGTGGTCGCCATGGTCGAGTGGTCGCCATATCCGAGTGGTCGCCATTACAGGTTTTACTGTATGTGATCCATGTAGGTGCACAGATGCTCTCGCTCAGATGAAACAGTTATTGCTGAGAAATTGCAAGAATTTGATCTTTGTGAACAGGTCAATAAATGAACTTTGTGATGTGCTTCTAATCTACTGCCCACACACCTGACCTTAATGAGTGGATGTGGATGTGTGTGCGTGCGTGCGGATGTGTGCGTGCATGCATGTGTGTGTGTGTGTGTATGTGTGTGTGTGTGTGTGTGTGTGTGTGTGTGTGTGTGTGTGTGTGTGTGCATTTGTGTGTGTGTGTGTGTGCATTTGTGTGTGTGTGTGTGCATGTGTGTGTGTGTGTGTGTGTGTGTGCGTGCGTGCGTGTGCGCGTACAGTGATATTCTGAAGGTCTATGATGGCATGGGGGATAAGAACAGTGTCTTCTGCCAGTGGATAGCATGCAGCATAGCCGGCTTTGTCATCGGCTTTGTCTACTCCTGGAGGCTGTCTCTAATTGTCTTGGCAACCACACCGTTGATCGCTGCATCATCGGCATTTGTTTCCAAGGTAAGCAAGTCTTGCGCTTGATGCCTATCATCCGTTTTAGTACTGCAGTGTAAAGTGTAAATGCTGAAAATTTCGGCACGGACTAGTAGATCAGTCAGAGCATTGTGCCTTTGATGCTCTTGAGCTGATTTGGAAATAATGTGTTGCTGTCTAAACTTCAATGGAATCAGTTGGGCCAGTCACTTTGATTACTGCTTATGAGACCAAAACAGGGTTGAAATGCCTAGCTGTCCAGAGATGGAGTTCTTGTGTGGTACATATGGCAGAGTGGAAATGGGAGGACTGTTGCAGCTCCGAGGCTCATTCTTAAATTTCAAGGCCAGCTCCTTTATTTGTGTGATGTGATTTCAGTATGGTGCAGTTCTCATGTCTCATGGATCTAATATATTGACACTCTGTACTGATCAATCTCCAAATTAGCTCAGTCAATCGAAATCCCAGATGCTCCACTTTGCAATGAGGACTGTGTGTCATGGGTTACATGTTGGCAATATCTGAAGGAGTTGTCCTTGCCTACACTTTCCAGCGTGCATGGGACACAATAGCCAGTCCAGCTGGCCGGGCTTTGACTGGGCCATTAAAGACGTTCCGCACTACATAAAGTTGAGCAACTTTACGTCAGTGGGCGGGAACAACCTGTGAACTGTTCCATCGACTCATCCCTGTTACGATAGCAAATAAAACAACTGCAGCAGAGAGCAGAAAGTTGTCAGTGTTGTTTTAAGGTGAGCGTCCCTATCCACAGGGTGTGCTGTGCACCTGTTGCGCGGCAACACCATTGACGCTTGCGAAGTACAGCAGTGTGTCATTGTGATCAATGCCGCTGTTGCCTCTGGCATGCGCAGGGCATGGTCAAACAGCACCTGGTGTGATTCATCATGATCGGCTTGGAGCCTTCAACTCCACAGCAGGTATGGAATTGCTCAAGGGCATCTCCACAGCAGGCATATAAAAAGAGATATATGATCCGGGCACAATACTCCACTGTGTGATTCAACTGAGTGATTCAACCGAGTGATTCAACTGAGAGATTCAACTGAGAATTTCAACTGAGTGATTCAACTGAGAGATTCAACTGCCGTGTTGGTTGCAGTGGAAGGAGATTAGCTGATCGAGCAGCCCGGCACAATTGAGTTTTGGTTGTGCCTGATGCAACATACATGCAGGTACGTGCACGTCATACACACGCCTGCCACAATAAAGCATGTGAGCAGAGTATCTCGTTGGTGCAAGGTGTGCTGTTGTCGTCAGCCTTACTGGCGATGCCATGGACTTCAAACTCCTATGGGACTTGAGTACATGTACTGC